TGTGATCTTTAAAAAAAACTTTCAGATACATGAAAAAGGAATAGAGCCAATAATTAGATCCTTTAGTTTGGAGAACATTGCATTTTAAGTAGGCTCCATTTTGTGCAATATCAGTCATTGCAAGCATTTGGTACAAAAATATCAATTAAAATAATATTCTACTAAATGAGTTCATTTTCTTGGCATCTGTTCTTTGAACTGCACTACTGTACAAGAGACCTGTACTCACCTTTTAGTAGATTGTCTTGCTCATTGGGGCTACAGGAGCTGTAGCACTGTAGAGGCAGTATGTCAAGCTTCTGTCAGAGAAGATTCTCCCATGTAGCTCGATCTCAATAGACTCTGAATTATATCCACTCTTTGGTTTGAAAGACATTTAAAATTTTATTTATATTTAATTTATTTGTAAAATTTTTATTTATATTTATTTAATATGATATAATCATATATATTTTTTTCTTAAGAGATTATTCCTTCTCTTGATGAGTATTAACATAAGTAATTATGATTCTTGCCTCTGTCTAGTAATTTTAAGTATTTTCTCCCATCAGGTGGTATGTACAGTTACCTACACAGCAAGCTCATCAGTATCACGAATTAGAGACTCCTTCCCTCCCTTTATCACCGTCCCCTTTTCCTGTGTCCTCTCTTGAAGAAGAGGAAACTGCCATTAGAGATGAGGATTGTACGTTACCCTCACGTCTACACCCTCAAGTAGCACATAAGATTCAAGAATTAGTATCACAGGGAATAGAACAAGTGTATGCAGTAAGGAAACAGCTAAGGTACAGTAGAAAATTGTTCTTTTATGTTCCTCATTTTTGTTTGTTCAAATAATACTCTTAACATTATAGATATTTTCCAGGATATGTAATATCAGAGTAGATAAGGAATACAGTTTATTAGTTTATTAACATAATCTTAATTATGATCACATCCCAGCAGATGCTTGGCAAGCCATGAGTAATGATCTGAAATACTCATCTGAGATAATCCATATTCAGATTTGGTGAATTGGACTATTTCTAAATGATATATGAATTGAATTATATAATAAGTACCTTTACCTTAAAAAACCTTTGTATAACCAAAGATTTTAAAAACCTAGGCCAAGGTACTTATTCTAAGCTATTTGAAATGTAACTAAATTTTATTGCCTTAAAAGAATATAGGTAGTTCTTTGTCTAATGATTTTATATGTAGTACTCTGGTCTAATTTTATTGATACTCAGGATATAATAATTCATTATTATCGTGTGGCACTTAACCATGTGTGTACCACGTATTGGGCTAAGCACTTTATGTGCATGATCACATTTATTCTTACGACTCCATAAAGTTGGTATATTGACCCCCATTCTGCAGATGAGACCATGGATACTCAGAGTGGTTAAATAAGAGGTGGAGGCAGAACTGAAATCTAGGTCTCACTCTATAACTGTGCTCTTCGCCATGATTTTTGGTACTTAACTGACCTTGTTTGTACTGGTTATTACGTAGTCTGATCTGAGCAACACAATGAGTATTTCCTAGGGTTTTTAATTAATACATTACTTTTTTATTTAGTAGCTTTCTTAGACATTTTATATTTGTTTTCATCAAGGTATTGTTAGAACAGAACCAAAATTTGGTAAAGCCATCCACTATTTACTAAACCTGAATCATAAGAACAGAGATATAATACAGCTCTGTGATATGGTCTACTATATGTAATGCACAAAACGTATATATATTTTGAACTTTATCATTTCGTTTATGTATTTTTTATACAATTATGTGGCAATGCCATCTTCTATTTCTATCTTCTCTTTTGTCTACTTGTAAAATGCAAGCAGATCATATTTCACATGATATTAATTGATGCCTTTTAGAAGCAATATAATATGATATTTATGCAGATAGCCTGGGTATAGGCCCAAGCTCACTTACTTAGTAGGTAGGTGTATAATTTTTGGGCAAATTATTTAACTTCTGCAGCCCTTGCTTCCCTTATCTCTAATGTGGGAATGCTAACTGTACCTACCTCATAGGTTTATAGTAAGGGTTAAAGGAGATACTTGATGTGAAGTGTTCAGTACAGTGCCTGACATAATAAACATTCAAATACATACTTAAATTGAAAATAGTGATCCCTTTAAATTCATAAAAATATCAAAATTTACTCTAAGATATACAGGTATTTAACCAATATAAATACTACATTTCTTTAATCTGCATGAATTATATGATTTAATGTATGGAAAAAATTAAAACTGGAAAAATATAAACTACTTATAAAGCTGTAAACCATGCTTTACCGAAGTTTATGCTCAAAGACAACCTTTCTCATTTGGATCTGAAGTATATTGCTAGAATGTTTATGTTTTATTCCATTTTACATTCTCCACAGAAAATTTGTGGAAAGGGAACTGTTCAAACCTGATGAGGTACCTGAAAGACATAATTTATCCTTTTTTCCAACTGTAAATGATATAAAAAATCACATCCATGAAGTACAGAAATCCCTGAGAAATGGAGATAATGTATATAACTCACAGATTATTCCAGCAACGGTATGATTACAACTGTAATTCCTTGTCTTATTACAGAATCTTTCTCAGCTTCTATTACTGTTTTGCCTAATAGGGATGGTTGCTATTAGGCCATGTAAATAAGGCCATGTGATATAAGAAAAATAGTATCTTTTTCATAAAATGTAAATACTATGAACTCTCAGATGATGATCGGACAATTTTTTTTATTACTCTTATAAGAAGAAAAACCAGTGAATTCCCAACTCTGACTATAATAACAATAGTAATATATATTTGAAAATCAACATAGTTTATCTCTGTAAAAAGTATATCTTATTCATTTAACCGTACATGCTGTGCATATATTCCCCTCTTTTTTAAATAGATGGGTAAATTTAAGTAGAATAGTTCAGACTTGAATACACAAAGTGATGATATTAGTTCTAGATTCCATCTATGGATATCAGCGTTATCTCATACTGTGATACTGTGGTTTCCCCCTGAATCTAGCCAGTTCTTTAAAAATTTTTTCTGCTCTGAAGAGATTAATATAATTACCCAGGAACTACTAATTGCAATGCAAGCGGTGATTATGGTATTAAAATTTCGGTAACACTATTCTTTGCTGTCTACAGTTTTACTCTCCAGATTCTATAACTGAATAGATTTAGATTATTATTTTTTTAAACTAAAGCTACTATTATTTGCTACCCAAAACTCTTAATTATTCACTATCCGGAATTCAGGAACAAAAACAGATTTGGTTAGCAATGATCCCTGCTACCTACACTTGCTATCGAAATTCTTGCTATCTGAACTTGGGAAGCTAATATATTTGGATAGTGAAGTATACTTGTGCTTTGAGAATATGAACAAGCGAAGAGAGTAATTCCAGAATAAAGCACACCTATACTATGACTGAATACAATATGACAGTTGTATTGATGTTTTAAAACAGTTTTTCAATGTAAATGCAGTATTATTTTTACTGAAATAAATGTTCCCTTTTAAGCTTCAATGGACTACAGATGGGGGGAATATTCTCAGAGAGACTGTGACAGTTACATTTGCAGAAGGTAGGTTATCTTAAATACCTTTAAAATATAAAATCAAATAATGTTAAAGCTGGAGGATATTTAAGATATTATCTCATCTAATTAAATTTTATGGATAAGCAAACCATGTCCTGAAGAGGCAAGAGCAACTATGTTAGGATTTATCAAAATAATTGCAGCTATTTAAATTTCCTCCTATAATCAGCTTTTATGCTTCTTTTTTTTAAAGAAATTTTATTGGGAAACAGTGTGTTTCTCCAGGACTAGTGAGCTCCAAGTCAAGTAGTTGTTTCAATCTAGTTGTGGAGGTTGCATCTCCTTGGCCCATGTGGGAATCGAACCAGCAACCTTGGTGTTATGAGCCTGCACCCTAACCTCCTGAGCTAATCGGCAGCCCCGCTTTTATACTTCTTTATGATTGTAATTTTAGTCTGATTACCAGCACAGTTTACTATAAAGTTAGGCTAATTCTAATAGTAATAACCCTAAGATACTCTGATTAGGAAACTATTGTCCTTTGTGTATGGTTTGCTTTTTCTTATATGTTCTCTCAGTAATCCAAGCTTATTTCAGCCCTTTGCTCTCTCTTCTGGAAATGTCTTTTCTCCTCTTCTGCATGGCAAACTATACTCAATACTCAAATAGCAATCTCTTTGGCTTTACCGTATTTGCCGGCGTATAAGACGATTTTTTGGCCCTGAAAAATATGCCTCCAAGTGGGGGGTC